TAATATTTTGGTGACTATAAACCTAGTCTTTAAAAAATCTGCATATAGGAATAAGAATGGCCACACAATTGATGCAACATTTTATATCTTTGAAAAACTCGCTGTGATGGGCTTCTAAAGTCCCTCTACTATATATTGACTTAGAGTTCTCTCTCTCTCTCTCTCTCTCTCTCTCTCTCTCTCTCTCACATACACACACACACACACACACACACACACACGTACACAACAAGCATACCCCAGAAGAAATTACTTATAGTCAATGATTTTTTTTAACAATTGTACAATATTTAATATACTTGAGTGTCTCTGAATTGAATTATGACTTGATCATTGAATTATTTGGAACATTTTCAAGTTTTTGTTATAAATTTGATTGCAGTTTTCATCTTTCTACTTCAAATAATAAATAATTTGGATGGCATCCTGAAACTAGAATGATTTGGTCAAAGGGCAGGGACATTTTCAGCTGTTTTATTGGCATACTGACAAACTACTTTTCAGGAAGGTCATCCTCTTGTCCCAGGTGTCTAAGGATCCTAGGACCCCCACCCCAACCTGCCCAAGGAAATGAAACCTGCTTTGAGCAGAGGCTTTAGCCTCGTGGTGCCTCTTTCACCCACCCAGTGCGTGGTCTACTCTACTCTTGTAAGGCTCAGTTCCCCGCCTCCATCAGGACGTAGGCCTATTAAAGTTCAGTTTTTGGGTTTGCGCATTCAGTGGTTGAAGAAAATATATTTTGGGGTAGGAGCCTCCAAGGGCCTCTCATTGCAGCGTAGAATGGGAAAGTGGACAGCCTTGGACATTAACAAGTGTTTCTCATTGCCTAGTAAATCCTGGTCAGGAATTCCAGCTGAATGACTAGTTAGCCTACTCCCTGCTACCGGTTATTAGGTAATTTCAGACAACTAACTTTTTGTAAGTTTAACTTCTTTTTCTTTTGTAAATTGGAGGTTTCACTACATAGTCCTGGCTGGCCTGGAACTACATAGACCAGGCTGGCCTTGAACTCACAGAGATTGTCCTGCCTCTGCCTGCCAACTCCTTGGATTAGACGTGCGACACGTTTTACCCTAAGGATGTAATTTATTTTCATTTATAGCAATGCTTAGAACTTAAATTCTACCTAGGACATCTGAATCATCATGAAACTTCCTGCTCAGGAAGCCTGATGCCCTGGAGGCTGAGATGTGTGTGTGTGTGTGTGTGTGTGTGTGTGTGTGTGTGTGTGTGTGAGAAAGTTTAAAATACATGAAATAAGAAACAAATTTGAACACTCACCCTTCACCAGTCATCCTTGTACGTGTCAAACTAGGAACAGTTTCATGTAAGAGTATGGCCAGGCATGGGCTTGTAGGCCTTCGATCCTAGCAGAGACCTGGGAGATCTCAGTGAATTTGGTACCAGTATGGTTTTCATAGTGAGTTCAAGCCCTTGTCTAGAAAAAAAAAGCAAGTGAGTTAATGATTCATTGCAACAGATATTTTTAGAAAGTAGTTTTATAGTAGGTCTCAGTGACGACAACAGAGCATACAGCTAGGTTCTAACCACATACCTTAAAAAATTTGTTTGGTTTTACTTTATGTGTATTGAAACATGTTTCGCCTGTGTGTATGCGCGGTGTGGTGCCTGATGTCCAGACAGTTGCCAGCTGCCGTAGCTGTGTTGGGAACTGAACACTGAACCCAGGCCCTCGGCAGGAGCGGAAGTGCTCTTAACCATAGGCCATCTTCCCATTTCCATGTCATCATCTTTAACAGATGCTCTTCTCTGTGCCAAAGGGGAAAATGCACAAAACAGGAAGTTTGGGTATTATTGATAATATCTAAAAGCTGGCTCCTGGACTTAGCTGTTTTGTACTAGAGCTATGATTAAGTAAGTCATACGCAGTCAATGCATTAATGTTCTGGAACCATTACAACCAGTGTTGGTGAACAAATCGCGTAGTCATAACGTTTCCATATTGTGCCCGTTCTCCTGTGGATCTGCTGCCTCCCTCCCACAGACTTGATGAGCTGTGTGACTGAGCTGTGTTAGGTCGTCTGAGGACCGCCCCCCCCCCATACACATATATAAACACACACACACACACACACACACACACACAGAGTTCAGTCTGGATGCTGGAGTTCTGCTTCAGACCTTCCCTTTTGGCGCATGACAGTTCCACACTGTCATACATGCACCCGGGAAGTCCCTCAATAGAAGGAAGGTTCTGGACAAAGAGGCCCTTCTCCCAGCCGCTGTCTTGAGGAGGAAGCAGACTCTGGCCAATCCTGCAGGCTGGAAAGGGGAACTTCGAAAGCCAGCGTTCGTGGACACTGGGCTGCCCAGCTGGCCCGGGGCCAGTCAGCTTTGTTCTCCTGGACAGCCGGATATGTTCTCTTTGTCATTACACTGGGCATGGTGGCGCAGGCGTGCCATCTGAGAACTAGGGAGACTGAGGCAGGAGTACTACCATGAGTTGGAGGCCAGCCTGGGCTACATGAAGTGATCCAGGGCTGCACAGGGAGACCCTGTTTCAGATGGAAGTGGGGAGAGATTTCCCTGGAGTAGCCAGAGTCCTGTGACCTCTGGTATTTCTGCTTCTGGAACTGGGTTGGCGTCCAGGGAATTTGCCTAGATTTTTTGGGGGGGGGTGGGGGTTGGAGAGATGGTTTGGTGTCTCCCCTCCTTCCCTGAAAGTTCTGTCCCTTTCCATGCACAGTGCCTCTGTCTTTCTCCTCAAGGCCCCTGCTCCTTGAACAGCCATTTATTCTCCCAGGCATTCACGGCCTCTGTCCTTCTGCTCATCACCCAGTGTGTGCCAGATAAGTCCCCAAAGTATCTCCTAACCCTTGGCTTTTTCCGTTTTTCCAAACTCAAAACTTGCTCCACTTTGAGACAGGAGCTGGGTAACACCTCTAAGCAGGTGAGGCGGCTTTGCTCAGGGTGCCCCTCCTCCACCCCTCGGTGACCTTCTCTTCTGCTACACAGTTAGCTTCCTTTTCAGAACCCCTCCTTCCTACGTCTTTTCCTTCTCACCTCCTCCTCTACTTCCCTTTTAGCCTCGCTGTGCTGTTCTGTCTTGACTGTTTCTGCTGTCTGTGTATTCTCTGACCCTGCGCTCCTTAAGAGTAGCCATGAGTTCTCTAGGCGGCTGCAGCTTCTGTCCCTTTTCAGAATCCCGCCAGCACATGCGCGTGTGCATGTGAACATATGTGACACTCGTTTTTTGGGGGGACCCTCTCGATACCACAGGCTCACTGGAATGGGAGAGACTACACCACCCCACTTGTCGAACAAGCCTGGCCTGGAAATGTGTCCCATTGCTTCATGGGACTTGTCCCCTCTGGGCTTGGAAAGCTAGAGTAATAGATTCTCTGAGTCAGTGTTGGCTCCTAGGGTCCCTTCTTCGGCCATGTCACACTTTTGCTTGGCTGCAGGGCCTCCGGGCTGCAGGGCCTCCGGCCCCGGGGCCACGGTCAGGGCTCAGTGGTTGGATGTTATCTGGCTTTGGGGAATCTGAGGGCGATGTGGAGCTTTGTAGCCCTGTAGGGCTTCTGTCCTTAGTACTTCCTCCCAGTGCATGAATACAGGCCAGGTGTCTTGGCTGTTTCTCTCCTGGGGGGGGGGGTGTCTTAGGGGACTCTCCCTTTCCTGTAGGCTCTCAGAGTGCATTCTGGAGCGATGAAGTGGCCAGGACAAGTGGCTATTGTCATGTTGCCAGAGGCCTTGCTCTGACTCAGGGAAGGTGCCCAGGTTTTGGGACTTGTTTTTACTGCTTTCTGTTTATTCCCGGCACAGAAGTGAGATGACTCCAGCCAGGTGAGGCTTATCCAGGTCCTGAGATACAAGTGGCTTCACCCTCTTCCTCACTGGCCCCCTTCCGCCTCCCATGCAGGGTGATGTGGGCACAGCCCAGGAATGTGTCCCGCTGATCTGCAAAATCAAATCTGTAGTCATTTGGTAGCTGTGGGAGTCTCAGCTCAGGTTGTCATGGCAAAGCCCACAGCTTGAGGGCTTAAACAATGGAAATTTATTTTCTCACTGTCTGGAGGCCAGCCGTGGAAGGAAGATCAAGGGATGTTTCAGGCCTTTCTCTTTCGCTAGATGGCTGTCTTCTCGTTTCTGGGACCATTGGGTTCCAAATGTCATCTTCAAAGATGTGGTATCAGTGGACCAGGGCTAAATACTTGCTAAATATGTGTTAAATATGTGCTAACTACTTCTTTAAAGACCCTGTCTGTGGCTGGGTGTGGTTGTGCATACCTTTAATTTCAGCAATTTAGCAGGCTGAGGCATTGGAATTAAGAGTTTGAGGATAGCCTGGGATAGCCTGGACTATACAGAGTGAGACCCTTTTTCAAAACAGAAAACAAACAAAAAGCCAAAACCCTGTTTCCAAATTCAGTCATATTTTGAGATATGGAGGCTAGGACTTCGGCATGTGAATCCTTACGGGCATGGTTGAGTCACTACAGCAGAGGGGCTGCAGCAGCAAGGAGGACTAAGGAGCGTGGCTTTGCCAAGAGGCTCCAGGAGCCCATTACAGTGGCATTGTGTAATGACCCATGTCCAGAAAGGGCTTCTTGAATACCTCATGATTATTATTTAAACACATGATAAATGTTCATATATTATATAATTATAACTTAACTCATGATTATCCCCACTTCACAGATGTGGAAGCCGAGGTGCAGAATGACTAGGAAGTCATTAGTGATGACCCAGGAAGAATCCTGATTAAATTGAGGCTCTCGGTGCACGCACACACACAGTAGGGCCTCAGGAAAATGTGCTGAGCCAGTTCTAATGGGTTTCATTAACAGTCATCAAAAACGACAGCTCAGAGTTGGTAGACGATTCCAGGGCCCAGTAGGTGCCTAGGGAAGGAAGGTGGCGGCAAGGGGCCCAGCATTTCACGGAGGTGAGTCAAACCAGGGACAGGCGAGGCTCATCCAGGCTCTCAGAGCCTGCCTTAGCCTCCTTCTCACCAGCATCTCTCTTGCGTTGTGCAGGGTAATGTGAGCAGAGCCCAGGAATGCCTTATGTGGATCGGCAGAACCGAATCTGTGGGTTTCTGGATATCGAGGACAATGAGAACACTGGCAAGTTCCTGCGGAGGTACTTTATCCTGGACACTCAGGCTAACTGCCTCCTCTGGTACATGGACAATCCCCAGGTGAGAAGCCAGGCGGAAGGGGTCAGGATGGCTGCCTCACCTTCTGCCACATCTGGGAGGAGCACTGGGGGGTCGGGGAGTTGGGCTTCTTTCTAAGACTTTGTGTCTGGAGCTGGTTAAACACAGCGAGAGATGAGCGAGAGACCACTCAACACATACCTACATGCACATCCCAAGAGAACTCTCTCTAGAGCTGGCCATATTGCTCAGTGGTGTGTGCACTCTTAGCATGAACCGGAATCTTGATTTAATCCCGAGTAGGGGGAGAATGAAGAGAGAGGGAGAGGAGAGCTGAGGAGCAGACCTGGGGGTGGGGCAGAGTCTCTTAGCCCTAGATTTGTGCCTTTCTCACCTACAAGAATTTAACACTTGGCACAAGTTGGGCAGAGCCTCCCAGTGGCTTCCTCTCACCTCTCGGGGCTGTGGCCCGGTGACTGCTCCTGCTCTTCCAGTTTGGGGCTCCTCCCCAGCAGAGAATGTGATCTGGCTCCTTGAGTCGGACAATGCTAGACTTCTTTGGTCTCCTGAATCAGGAAGTCATGGAGTCTTGGGTTGGCAGTAGTGACCATCTAGGTCTTTCTCATGCTACCAAGGAGAAAACTTGAGTCCTGGACATTGCAATCTACTCTGGGCAAGAGGAAACGATCCATTTAACATAGCGTGGAGGCCAGGCACAGAGCTGGGGAACCTAGGTTTTGTGTTTGTTTTTGAGACAGGGATGTACATGTAGCCCTTCCTGGCCAGGAATTCACTGTGGCCTCAAACTTGGAGATCCACCTGCCTTTGCCTCTGAGCGCTGGGATTAAAGATGTGTACCACCATGCCTGTCCTGACCACCTAAGCTGTATTGCTCCGTCTTGGCAGGGGTGGGGGCTGGGTAACTGGAAGCAGTCACTGAGAACCTGGAGCTTTTTCTTTTTCCACGGAGTGCTGCCAAGTCCTTCCTTCCCACTGGTCCATAGCACTTTGGTGGAAGTGAGGCATAGTCCCTGGGCAGTGCCATGACAGGGTGTGGCTGTGTATAGATGGGCATGAATGTCGAGGGTGGGATTTGGGTCTGTTCGAGGGCTGAAGAGGATAGTGTTAATGTTGGGGATTAGATGTGTGCTTTCAGATGGGAGATGGACAGTCGATAAGATGGCTCAGTGGGTAAAGGTGCTTGTTGCTAAGCCTGTGAGCTCTGTGTTCAACTCCTCAAGATCCACATGGTGGAAAGAGAGAAAGATTTTTGTCCCAATTTACCCGCTTCCCACTATTCTGTGTTTGCATTGTCTTGAAACAAGACTCAGTTTTGTAGGGAGTCTTGCCCAGCTGTTGCCGGGTCCTGGCTTGTACCTGTCAACCAACCTATTTTTCTTCCTTTTGTGTGTGTGGGGGGGGGTACATGTATATATGTGTGTTCGTGTGTGTGTGGCACATGAGTTTGGAGGCTAGAGTTCTATGTCACTGTTTTCATTGATTTCTCTCCACCTTGTAAACTGAGGCAGAGTCTCTTGCTTGAATCCCGAGCTCACTTATTTTGCTATACTGACTAGTCTACTTCTTTTGGAGAACCCCTAGAGTTCTGCCACCAAGATACTTGGGTCATAAGCAACCACTATGCATGCCAGACTTTACTGGGCATTCGAACTTAGGTCCTCAGGCTTGTTGTGTAGCAAGCACTTAATCCACTGAGCCATCTACCCAGTTGAGAGCTGAACCTTCACTCATACTCTGGGCCATAAGAGAGTCTTGCTGTCAACCCAGGTCACCCATGACCATGGCGTCCTCATCTTGGGTCATGGATATTGCTAGCTTTTAGGATTCACCACAGTGAAACCCACTCTCTGACTTGATTGTCTCATGGACCTGGGACCTGGGCTCACCAGCAATGCTCTGCCTGACCACTTTCTTGACTCTTGGGACTACCTCTGCATTAGTGTCCCCCCATCCCAGGGTAACCTCCCTTCCTTTCTGCTATGGGGGGTCTCAGGTTGTAATCTTCCTATCCGAGTTACCAATGTAAACTTATGACCTAAACCTGGGGAACTGATGTCTTCCCATGGAGAAGAAGAGATCAGCACGGAGGGTCTTAGCTGTGAGAGTCAGTTCAAAACATTTTCCTTCTTCAGTCCTTGTGTTAGTTGTCAGTCACGTTCATGGCCAAGCAGTCTCTCCAGATTTGAGAATGGTGTTTTGGTAAAGTGTGGAAGGAAATGACATTC